CCCATTGGGTCGGGCCTGCCCTTGTCGGAACTGGGTAAAAACGAAAAGAGTTGTGCTCCTTTCAGCTCCCCCCTCGCTCCCCAGCTATCTTGGCAAGGCTTTCATGGCTCCATCGAGCGGGGTTCGGGAGGCAGTAGGCAGTGCTGCTTGCCCTGTTCCTGTATGCTTCACCCTGCTCTTCCTTGTCTTGACAGAGGGAAAAGTGAAGGAGGAATGTCTGTGCTTCCCTTGCTTAGGCAAAGGTGGTTTTCTGTGCTGCAGTGCAAAAAGGGTAGTGAAATCCAACATGGTGATGACATCATGGCTTTAGAAGGGATTCTGAAGTCAATGACTTAGATTGGGCAGTCACTGACCACATGCACCACTGCGACTGGTGCACGATGTGAACAGGGGGTGATCCATGAGGGCAGGGAAAAATCTGTACCTCCAACATGTATGTGGTACACCAGGAAGGCTAGACAGATGTCAGTGTGATTCTTAAGAAAAATAGCCTTTCTTAAACAGGAAGACATGAATGGTTTTTTGTTTCATTGGTTTTTTTCCCCCCTCAAGAAAGCAGACACTGGGATTGGTTATGTTAAAAAGCTCATTAGTGTGCATTCCAGTTGTCTTCTCTGAAAAACTGGTTTAAGGGAGTCATCCATTCAGCTGTGTCACAGTGAGAGAAGGAAAGTTTGAATGCTGTGTAATTCAATAATTGTAACGTTTCACATAGTTTTCTGTAACAGTTGCAAGCAGTTGCATTGTTCAGAATCTGTCTTTTAAAACCTAGACACCTTCAAGCAGAATGGAGAACAATTGGACAAATAAGTGCATATAAATGCTTTCCTGTTACCTTTTTGTAATTGTTGATAGACACACAGGGGATTTCTGTGAGTGTTGTTGATAAATAAAACATTATAGTTCTGTAAGTACATTACAGTAGGTGATTTCCTTGCACAAAGATACAAATGATGCATTAAATCTGTTGAAAGGCCACAGGAGCTCAGGTGTGTCCACCAAAATGTGTATCTTTAGGAATTACAGATGAGGTTCTCTTCTCACTGTGTCAGTTTTGAAGTAGCTTACATTGTAATGCTGAAGAAGCAAAACCAGTGCCCAGCTCTAATAATGAAATAACACGAGTTGGTAGCTAAATGAACTCTGGAAGTTAAACCACTCTTAGATGCATTATCTGTGTCCTGTATTTGTCCATTGCAGTAAATTTTACCTGGAGCTGCAGCAAGATTGAGGTGAAAGGGGCACCATAGAATCATAGAATGAATCACAGAACGGTTTGGGTTGGGAGGGACCTTAAAGCTCATCCAGTTCCAAGCCCCCTGCCAGCAGCAGGGACACCTTCCAGTAGACCAGGTTGCTCAAAGCCTCATCCAGCCTGGCCTTGAACACTTCCAGGGGGCAGCCACAACTTCCTTGAGCAACCTGTTCCAGTGTCTGACCACCCTCACAGTGAAGAATTTCTTCCTAATATCTAATCTAAACCGCCCCTCTTTCAGCTTAAAGCCATTTCCCCTTGTTTTGTCATTAACTGCCCTTATGAGGGCAGTCCCTTCCCAGCTTTCTTGTAGCCCCTTCAGGTACTGGAAGGCTGCTATAAGATCTCTCATTTCATAAAATGGGAGTGAGGAATCAGAAAAGTAGTCTCTTCCTGTTCACCTGCTTAGTATGTCACAACAGTCTTACCCTCTCCTGCCAGGAGTGAGTCCAGCCCTTTTTAAAGGTGAACATTTTGCACCCAGGATGAGGGGAGCAGCTGCGAACCAGGGAGGGCCTTTGCCCATTCTCTGAGGTTTGCTTGCTCTCTGCTTCTGTCCTGTACCTGTCTGTTCCACTTTACTTCCAGTTGTGTTGAAAGAAGAGAGCTGGGGAGTCCAGTTTCATGTGAATGAGAGGAACCCTTTTTCTCTGGTTGGCAGTGAAGCATCTGAAAATGAGATGGTAGATGTTTGAAATTCACTGTGTCTATGAGACAGAGACAAGAAGAGTGCTGACTGGCGAAGGCCTGTGGGGTGGGAGGGAGGAGCACGGCTGTGTTCTCCCTTGGGCTGGTCTGTGTGCTACATCATTGTCTTGTCTCTCTGGCATTAAGCACTTGTGTAATAAACAAGTGGGCTGCATAAACTTCAGGCAGCTCATCACATAGGCTTTCCAACAGAGAAAGCACAATCTTAAGCTGAATTGAGGGCAGATTATATTTTTAAGTGGTTGTGTATTTCTGACTGCTTTTCCTTCTTACCCAGTTTGTTGGCTCTTCCTGTGGGAAAGTGGCGTTACTACTCCTTTCCTCTTGGTAGTCTCTCCTAATGATGTGCAGTCTGTCCTTGAAGACACTTCTTAAGGTTGAAGCCTCTGTGGCATTAAGCTAAGAAATGGACTTCTAGGTTTTTATACTGCTGACTCAATCAAAGTTTATTTTCTTTAACTTAACGTGAGACTTGAAGATGGAGGCCATACAAATGAATATTTTGAGACTGTTAGGGAAAAGATCACTGTTCTGGAAAAGAACACATTTCTGTTGGGAACTTCTACATGCAGTTACAAAAATTAGAAAAAATAAACAACTTCTATTATGAAATTAAAACTCTTGTTCAAGATTTGTTTTAGTTGAACATCAAACTCTACAATACTCAAAAGCATAAATCCGACTGTTACTTTATGGATAAAACAGTGACTTTTTTAGCTGGGTATATTCGTTAAGATTCTAAAGTGAAAGATTGATGTGAAGTGTATAATTCCAAGGAAGTGTGACTGTAAATAAATATTTCTTTCTTTTTTTGTTTTCCCTGATGCAGCTTGCTGTTCTCTAGCACTGATAGTGCATGGCGGCTTATCCTAACTCTGTCCTGAAGTGAGGTGGGAAATCGGTCCGGTAATTCAGCATCAGTAAGACGAGGTAATGATAAATGTGTGTTTTCAGAAAGGAGGTGAAAAGAGGACCCATGGATGGATGCTATTTTATTTTTAAAATGCTTTAAATTAAAACACAAAACAAACAACTTCTGCAAAAGCCTGTGCTTTTACAACAAACTTAAACAAGGTATTAATTAGACTGAGTTGATATGCCTGCAGCCAAGACTGATATGTTGCAAAACATGAATAATGCATTAACAAGCATTAACAATATTATAAACCTCAATGTTTCATCATAGTGTCTCAGCAGCAACCTGGCTGTGTTAATTCCGGGTCCCTTTTCTCTGAAAAACCCAGAAACTTAATTGCAATCTAGAGAGCATCATACTACGTCTTTTTAGTGCAAAATGTTGCCATTGAAACAGTAGAGTTCAATATACACGAGTGCATCAAGGTGCATGATGTATTAAAGGCTTTAGCTTAGTATCTTGTTTCTCTGGTAGGAGAAAAGTAATTTTCAATGTAGCACTTTAAAAATAGACTGACCAAAGCAAAATTCAGTTTTCTTATAAAGCACTGTGTTATAACAACCTTAGAGGTAAGGGAGAAATATCTGCATATCTCTACCCAGAATTCTTTTTGCACCAGAGAATGAACCAGCCTGCTTGCCTGGCTGTGGCTTTGGATATGTCAATTTTGATGTGTAGGGCTTCCTACTTTTAAGATCTCCAATATTTGTACTTCAGATATTAAGATAATTGCTTTTTTAATTGCTCCTCATTCCAGATCTATTGATTTGGCTCTGTCCAAAACAGAGGAGAAAGAAGGGGATATTTGACTAGCTAGCTAGATCTTTTTTTTTTTTCCTCATTCCTCTGTTCAGTAACTTCTCTATAGTTTCTGTTTTTCTTTTAAACATAAGGCTTTTGTGTGGTTTTTTTTTAAAGAAAGATGCCTCATACAAAGTGGTAATTTTTAAATTGTCTTAAATGAAGTGTTAAAGATATAACTCTGAAATATATGCTGTGTGCTGCTTGAACACAGGATGGCTTTATTGCACTTCCTTTGAAGTTGGAGCAGTTGTCCAGCTCTTAAAGCACTGACAGTAGCTGACTGTTCTGGACATGTATACTGCATAACAAATCTGTGGCTCTGAGCCTTATGAGTAGCTAACATGTGGTCTGTTGAGCAGCTTTTAAAAATCTGAAATTTTGGTTAAAACATCTCAGTCAAAATTTCAAAAAAGGAAAAATTTTCTATCTTACTTTCTGGAGGGGAACCCCCAATGTGTTCTCATCATTCATAGAACAAAACTAATGTTCAGCTCTTCATTTATTTGTTCATGAAATAATGCATGATTCAACTTGGTTTTTATTAAGATAAAACCACCTTATCACCTATAATCTTTGAAATAAGGTATTTTGGTAGTCTTTATTGAATGGGAAAAAAACCCCAAAACAACACCCTTTCCTGGTTATAATTATGGGGGATGTAAAAATAATGCAATAAGGTCATATTGTAACCAATATAATGTAAGGCTGAGAGCATTTGCTATGATTGCACTTTCCCTGAGAGAAATATATGCATGTACCTTAAAAGCAAACCCTAGGGAATATTAATTCCTTTATAGCTTTTTTCCATGACAGTTTACAGCTGATACCTTAAAAAACAAAACCAATCCAAACCACACAACAACAAACCACAAGCAGACGAACAAAAGCAAACAAAATCTTTGAACTTTCTAAGTGTCACACATATTTAAAAGCTGTCTGACTTTTAAAAAAAAGTTGTTACTTTTAAATTCTGAGTACTGGGAACTGTGGTCACTGTTGATTTGAAGTATCTGGTGTCACAGAGTTCTCCTTTGCCTGTGAGCTCAGTTAGTGTGCACATTATTGTTTGAGAAATCGGTGAATCATAGAATGTATCCAAGAGAGGTTCTCTGTGGGGGCTTCCTAACAGTAATGCTTTCCAAAGATGGAAAGCTTCATAATTGTCATTAGATACATTTAAATAACTAACAGCTTTGTTTCCTAAAATGTTTTTAATGTTTTGTTGTTAACAGGTCTGCAGGCAATAAGGAAGCCACCATGAATGGGCAGCTGGACTTAAGTGGGAAGCTGATCATCAAAGCTCAGCTTGGGGAAGACATTAGGAGAATTCCTATTCATAATGAAGATATCACCTATGATGAGTTGGTGCTAATGATGCAAAGAGTTTTTAGGGGAAAACTTCTGAGCAACGATGAAGTCACAATAAAATATAAAGATGAAGGTAAGGTGTAATTACTGCTGTTGAGGTGTAATTACTACTGTTGCTCTGATATGATTTATCTAAGAACAGAAACTGTGAAATTACCTTTTTCAAAATTGTCTAAATTTGTTGGTAAATACAAGTGATTTCTTGTGAAATCCTTTGGATTGGACAGTAGAAACTGTATTTTTTGTGATTATCCTGTCTTGACATTCTATTTCCTCTAGTTTTCCTGAAATACCAGCTGTCTGAAAATTCATTTTTTTGCTGCTGCAGGAAGCTGATGCTATTGCAGATTTATCTGCTGTCCACTCATTTAACCATTTTTTTGTGTTTTCAGTGATAGAGCAGGTTTGACTTGTCATAATAACATGTGACTTAACACAAGCCCTTATAAGACTTGATTTATGTAGTAGTAATTTTTTATTTTGTTTTCCTCCATCAGTAAAGAGGAGAAGACACTTTTAACTTAACCTGAAATATTTATGAAAAGTAATCTTTCCTCTGTGTGACAGCTGAATCTGTTGGGCATTGGTTGTACATAGTTTGTTTCAAAGAAAATATCAATTGTTGGTGCTAAACAAATGCAACCTTAAGCAAGAAGGGCTTCCACAGACTGGATAAGGCCGTGTTTGAGGTGCATAGAGAGAGAGAGTTGTGGTTCTGAGGGTTTTTCAACTGAGATAAGGTTCTTTAAATCTACTTCAGTCATTAGAAGCATTGGAATACACACGTTCTAGCTATTTCTGTTTTGTTATTTATCCCTCCAAACCTGGAGGAATGCTCATAAATGAGGAGATTTCTTGAGTTCATTTAAGGATTTCCTCTACAACCTTGATCTGTCTGCTCTCAGAATTCATGTGCACACTCTTTGAGTGTTCAGAAGAATGCTTCATCTACCTCTCCTGGCTTTGTTTCTTGTTGCTGTAGCATGTGAAGCTAGTGATCTTCAGTCCTGGATATGTAATTTTATACTTAAAATTTCTGCAGAATATCTCAACAGGAATCATAGAACTGACTTTAATGCTTCTAGGAAGATTCTGTATTTGGTGCTTTTCAGCCTTTTTTTCGCCTAGCAATTTGAAAGTGAAACTTTTGTTGTTCTTAACTGCCTTCAACATAAATGTTGAAAGGTGAGGGAGAATAAGGTGGAATGATCTGGATTCTTTTGATTGACATTGATCTGTGTAAACCATGTGCATGAATATGAATTTCCATTTGTCTGTGCAGAACAAACTGTTCAGAACATGCACCTTTGTTCAGACAGAGAATCCAAGTATTGACTGGTATGACAGAAAAGCATCATAAGATGCTCTGTCAATATTGTGCACTGGCGAGAGAAGTAATAATTTATTGTGTGAGCAGGATAATATGGAGTAGAAGGGCTTTTGTGTTAGGCATCAGTGGATTTTGGTATCAGCATTTAGGAAAGTTTACTGAAAAGCTGGAGGACATGTTTGAGCTGGAGAGAAGATCACTCACTTCACTGCCAAAGAGAAAAGATTGTCCAACTTGTGGAAGTTACTTGTTTAGGGTCTGAATGTGTAAGCCTTGTTAGGAATCAGAGTGGCAAACAGGGACACTGTTACCCTTCCCTTGCCACTGGTGAGGCCCCACTGGAAGCTTTGTGCTCACCTTTGCCTGTTGCACTCCAGGCTTAAAAGATGTGGAGAAACTGGAGAGGGTCCTACAGGATGTGATGAGGATGGTGAGGAACTTAGAGCAGGTGGCCTACAGGGAACATTTGAGGGAGCTGGGCTCATTCAGTGTGGTTGGTGCAGAGGAGACTGAGAGCAGAGCTAATAGCAGCCTCCAGCAAACTATGGGAGTTGCAGAGACCATTGTATCCCAACTCTTCTCAGCAGCACCAGATGGCAGCAGTCATACGCTGCAGTTTGAGGGGTTGAGCGTGAGTTTTGGCCAGGAGGGCAGTGTGTCAGTGGAGCAGGTGTCCTAGTGGGGTTTGTAGCCTCCGTTCTTGGAGGCTTTCCAGTCTCTACTCGGTGAATCCTTGACTGATATTGCTATCAACCAATGCTTTTTGAGATTGTGGAAGTGCAAACAGGACATAGGATACCAAAAAAGTCTTTGGAGACAACAATATTTCCTTCAGGAATACTTGAAAGTTATTTTATATGTCCTCAGTTTGTTAGTATTTGTAAGATTCCTTGTTTATTTTGTTAGAAAGCAACATATTTGAAGACTGATGGGCATTGTTAGGTTGGTATTAATGGTACTATACTAAGAAAAGCTTCTATTGCAGAAGTGTTACTTGTAGTCAGGGCATGACAAAATTAGAATACATAGTTCTTCAAATTTTGAGCTTTTTTCAGCTTGCTGTCATGTGTTTTATGACTAATCATACTAAAGCATGCATTTATTTGAAAGTTTTAACCGTAACTTTGATACAGTTGGATCTTTGTCACCAGTGCATAAGTGCATCTCAGGGTTTTTAGGCAGTGATCTGTGATCAACAACATATTTCTGTGTCTGTCCACAGAGCCTCCTTTTAACAGTGTTTTAGGGAGGAACGTTGGGGGCCTGGAGTTGTCTTTGTTCCAAGCTGTGTGTTATTTGTCTAGTGCTGTTGCTTTTGAAGGTGAAGCTTCAGTAGATACTGTCTCATCTCAGTTCCTGGTCATCAAGGTGTTCTGGAAGGAAGGGGTCCTGCTCTCCCTTTCCTTTACACTGCCTAATTTATGTTCATTTGATCCATTAATATGTTAATAATATGTTGAATATGCTAAAACAGCAGAAAATCCATCCTGCCAAATAAAATAGGCTTGTTTTACCTGTGATCTTGTTAAGAAAGCAAGATGTTAATGTATTTGTCTGTTATTTTGACTCAGGTTAAAAATTGTGGGAGACCAGACTTAATGGGAACTTGGTATCTTTTTTTGGCTTTAGTAAGATTAAAGGTGTTCAGGGCTTTGTGCATAGCCCTTTGTATCTTAAGAATAAATGATCCCATACAGTTCTTATGTAGTTTCTGTGTCTGATGGAATGTGCAGGTTCATTAGATGCATTGGGATTCAAGAGTTCCTCTGAAATCTGCCACAGAAAAATAAATGGCTAAGAGTTGAGACTGTGTCAGATTCCTGGTTTGAGAGAAAGGTTTTGTTCTGATAACTTTGACATCTTCATGTCTTCATTCCTATTTGTGGATTAAGGCTGATAGGTATTTTTACTATTCACTTTTACACAGGAACTTGTTGATAATCAGTCTTGCACCTCAGTGTTCTGAGTATAACTTGTCCTGTGTAAGTGTGTGTGCTTTGCTTTTTAACAATGAGATTGGGATTGCTTGTGCTCTGACTGTCCTGTACTGACTCTCCTGTCTGTTCCTGAAGAGTACAGTTTTGGAGCCACTTGAAATGGACATATAACTTTAACTGGCAGCATCATTCTTTCTGATGTTGGCCTTTGTGAACTCTTAGCTCTAAGGTTTCATCCTATATGCAAAAATAAAAGACTGATGAGCTATACAGAACTTGGAAAGGGCTGATGTCAGAAGCCTCCCTTTTGGAGCCAGTCATTCTCCTGTCTTACCTCCCACTCAGAATTTCCCTGCACATTGACTCTCACACTAAAATAATAAATGTTTTTGTGTTAACGTTATGTACAAGTCTAACTTGTTGCTTTGTGGTGATGATTAAAAAAAAACCAAACCCAACTGCTTTTGAGGACTTAATTTATCTTGATAAGTGTTTGTAATTCTAGAAGTAATTCTTCCTACTTGAGTTATTGCAGGTGCTTTTTGAATCATCAGTGTGTGTCTCTAAATGATTGTAGCTCAGGGAAACAATGATATAAGCCTTACTTAGTAATGACAGAAAAAACCTCTGTTTACTACTTCTACATCTTCAGTTTTCTCATGCTCCATATAATGAGGTATTTTACCCTTTTTGTGATAGTGTTAATTGCTATTTTTTTTCTAGTAGCTTCAGAATCAAATTAAGAATGTTATTTATTTTTTTAGTAATGAAGTAACACTTCTGCCCTCGTGTGACGTTCAGTGGTTAATAGGCTCTGCTTTCAATGCAACTTTTTCATGTTCTTTTCAGATGGAGATCTTATAACAATTTTTGATAGCTCAGATCTTTCCTTTGCAATTCAATGCAGTAGGATACTTAAGCTGACATTGTTTGGTAAGTGTAGAAGATTGTTTGTCTTTTTATTTTTTAATAATGTTTATTAAAATTCAGGCAGTGGGCTTCACTGGAAGGTACTAAAAACTTTCAGTTTGTCACCTAAGAAGAATGAAATCAGTAAGTTAAAAATACTGGATTAATATGTCATAGCTATTTTCTGTCTTGATGTTTCTATGTGACATCTGAACTGAGGGGAAACAAACTATTTATTTTGTAAGGTTGCTTAAAGTATTTGGCATACATGTATATATGGTCAGTTGTTTTTTCTTAGTGTTATTTTCCATGTTATCTTCCACTTTAGCATTTGTGAGGTTTTCTTCACAGATGTGTGAAAAATTCAAGACGATGATAAACTTAGTGTTACTAGTATGCTGCTAAAAACTACCATTAATTGCTTAAAGTCAAATATATTTTAACATTTATCCTTTGGCCTTTGTATAAAACAGTTCTTTATTTTCAAGCTTCTATTGCTAAATTAGCATGTAGTTCCAAGGAATAGCAAGCAGCCTTTAACTTGGACACTGACCTTGCTCATCAGTTGCAGCAGTGTTATATATGCTGCCTTAATTCTAAAGGTCCTTTCTAAAGGGACAGCTTTCCACAACCAAGCATGATAATTGTATTGTTCAGGGTATATTAATGGAAATGAACAAACAATGCAGAAACTTACTGCAGACTTTACTCTGCAGTTCTGGGATTGTGGATTATGCTGAACCGTGATTATATTAAAGGAACAGTAAACTCTAGAACGAGTTCAGTCTGTGGTGACTGAACTGTGTCACTTTGAACTCCACAGTGGGTGATAATACTACAAGTGAGCAAAAGTTGGGAATTTATTATTTTATTTTTTTTTTAAGCTTTAAACTGGATGTCAAAATGCTGCTGTGGTCTTAAATGCTTCTAATTGCTCTTTTGCAGTGAATGGACAACCAAGACCCCTAGAATCTAATCAGGTGAAATACCTGCGTCGAGAGCTGATAGAACTTCGCAATAAAGTCAATCGTTTACTGGACTGTTTAGAACCACCAGCTGACCCAGGGCTTTCCACTAATCTGCCTGAAAGTGGTAGGCAGCCTGGCAAAAAATTGTTTGGTTTGATTTGCAGAGTTGTGTGCTGTTTAACAAAGTGAAAAATGGAGGCTTGGTTGTGATCATTCTTCATTGTTGCTTGATGGTCCAGAACTTAATTTTTAATGCTTCAGTTACTTCAGAATAGGAATAAAACTTCAAAGTCTTGAGTTTTTGTTGCAATGTATGAAAATGCTGTAACTAACACTTGTGAGTCATGACAATATTTTGAGAGGGCTTTGAGCTGAATTAATAGTTTGTTGTTGCTGAAGGTCTCTCACTCCCAGCTGAGCATTCCCACTGCTTACTTTGGGCTAGCTCTGGTGCTTATCTTGTCATGTTGCTAAGCAAGTTTGATTCACTAAAACAGTAAAAAGTGAATTCAGCAAAAATTATATCCACTTTTTTTGCCAGGTTAGGAAATTGAATCCACACATTTTGAGCTCAGACCAGCATCAGAGCTGTCTCAGGGTAAGCAGCACAAGGGTGCCCATAGGGGTGGGAAAAGATTATCTGGGGAGGGCAAAATGGGGAAGGAAGTCTCAGTCTCGCAGTGTTGAGGCATTGATCTCCTAGCTTAGGGCTGTTGTACTGTAAAAATTGTACCACTGTGTGCTTTACTACAGATTTTGTGTAAGCCACAACAGGAAATAATGACACAAAGTCATGGAATACAGTGTTCTGAGTAAAGAGGTGAACTGAGAACTCCAACCTTTCTTTTAGGAAATGCTGCTTTTGCATTTTACATTTCAAAGTTTTATTGATTTTGCTGTTTAAGAAATCACAGCAACTGTTCCTACAATATAAACAATTACTAATTTCAGTGGAATACCATGGATTTTGGTTATAAACCATTTGGAAGGAGGTAAGGGTGATGATCTTAGACTGTAAACGAAACTGGCCAGTCTAAACCCTATCTGTACTTGTTTGAGGTTTTTTGTGGTTTTTTTTTTTAAAAAGAAAATGTAGCACTCCACTAGCTACGGGGTTTCTGAGTGATTCAGTGTTACTTGTGTAATTGCAAAGAAATGGACTTCACTTGTCAGCTTAGGAAGAATTTGGGGAAAAGGGGACAGAATAAAACAAAAACTGCAGTTGATTATACACTATGATAAACTGGAACCTATCCTGTAAGTCTTCCTCATTTTGAATTCTTTGTGGGCAAGTCATACCAGAACAATTTGTTGAAGCAGGAGCCTTGTAGCTTTGAATTTAAGACAGTGTGATACAGGATACTGATATTCCACAGTGTCAGTGTATGCTTAAGTAAATGTGCAATGAGGCCTAAGCTCTGTGATTCATCAGTTTCAGATTCGTCACTGATTCATCAGTTATCCTTAAGGAAGCATTTCAACAGTTAAAACATTTAAAAGAACTCCCACAACTCTGCAGTTTTAAAGTCGCTGTAGTACAATATATATCTATGATGGTGTTTCAGTTCTCAAGAATTAATAACTGGGCATTTTGTTTTGTAGATGCTGTAGATGGTAGGGAAGAAAAGCCTGCTGCTGCTGACTCTAATGTTAAGCCATCTACTCAAGTTATAGCAGCAAGCATGTCTGCATTTGATCCACTAAAGAACCAGGATGAAATCAGCAAGAATGTCATGTCAGCGTTTGGCTTGACAGATGATCAGGTGTCAGGTAAGAACATGTCTTAATGCAAAGGAAAGCAAACCCTATTCGTAATCAACAACTCAAATCTTGATTTGTAGCAAAGCATTTGTATTTTGGATGTATTAAGCTGTGTTCTGTATTCACTTTTTCTTTTCAGAATTCTAAAACTTGATTAAAGTGCGGCTGTGTTTGCTAGTTGAAATGTTGCTGTTGGTTTTAGCATGATGTTTTAGTTTGGATTAGAAAATGGCTTAATTTTTAAAATTTGAATTATTTAAAAAGGGGACAGAGGACAAAGGACTGTTGGTAAAACACTTTGTTGCATGGGCCCAGGTGGGCCACAGCAAAACACTAGTGCATTTGAACAGTTTCATGCAGCCTGTCGCCTTTGCTCCAGGTGAGAAAGAACAAGTACGTAGGTGCATGTTCCGTCCAAACAAGCAGGTCTTCAGTGTATGGGTGCAAGGTTAATGCTTGAAGCTGAGGAAAAAATGTGTTGTCACGCAGAGTTTAATCCCACAAATGGGTCACGTTTCTCAGAAGGATGAAATTTGAGTGACCTAGAGACAAAATAGAAATATTTTCAAAGGAGAGTTTAGATGTGCAAATATATTTAGTTTTAGCTTGGGTATGACACTTTCAGATGTAAGGTTATGGAAAACTGGAAAAAATGTTAAAACTTTTGCCAGGGAATGGTCTCGTATTAAGATTTTTTAAAAATTCAAACTCTTTTTTTCTTTTCACATACTGCATTTTGGTTTTGCTCCTCTAGGACCACCCAGTGCCCCTGCAGAAGAGCGATCGGGAACACCAGACAGCATTGCTTCCTCCTCTTCTGCAGCCCACCCCCCTGGTGTTCAGGCACAGCAGGCACCGTACCCTGGAACACAGCCACAGACTGCTCAGGTGGAAGGTAAGCACCATCTTTGTCTGCTGTTGAAGGTGTTTGAATCTTAGTGGTCAGTAGCTAAAACTTCCAATTAGCAGACCCAAAATCGATACCAAACTGCAAATCCATGTGTGCCACTAGGCAGAAAAACTTTTTCCTCCCGTGCTGTTCAATTTAGAAACGGCAGGTGGGGCAGTAGCTTTATTTAACAGAGCAGATGATGCACATGAGGAGGATTTTCATGGTACTGTTTTTTCTGCTTGTATCCTTGCTCATTTTACTGTGAGGCAGATTGGTAAAGGCTGCACTTTGTAAGGGAAATGGTCTTGTATTAACATTTTTTTTTAAATTCAAACTATTTTGTTCTTTGCAAGGGGAAAAAAAAAAGCTTAAAAGCTGTCTGAAAACCTTAGTTCCTATCATACCCTGTGTGTTGTGTCAAGCTTTCACTCAGCTAACAGTTTGGCTTTTCTGCTATGAATTAAAAATATTGTTTACTCACAATTTCTATCAGACAAAGCAGAGCCTTTACTGTGTTGCCTCTTTGCTGTGTACAGATCTGTGCTGGTCAGGTTCAACCTCGTAACTCTCTCATGTGCGTTGTCGTTTTGCTGCATAACCGTTGAGAGCCCCACTTGTCTCTCCTTTAAAGCTTAAGGTCTTAACTCTGATATTCAGGTTCCTTTGTACTTTGCCCTTTTACATCTTATTTGACTTCTAAAAATAAACCCATTGAGAGGTTTGCTACATTTGGGCATCATTTTTCTTTTGATATTTTCTAAGAGTGCTGAGCCTTCAAACCTGCATAGTTCTGGATGAAACTGTCTGTGGAGTGACCTGCATTGGTACTTCTGCCTCTGTACAAAGTACAATGTGAAGTTGTTTATGTGTTAGTGTAGAAAAAATGTTACAACCCTCTGCTGCCTTCTGTACTGACGTCATGCTGAGATACGTGTGAGAGGCATTGTGGAGGGTGATGACAGATCCACAGACACTTGGAATGTCTTAACTGAAGGGCATCAGTAACATTTTGATTGAGCAGAGTATTTGAGCAACTCATAGTTAGACATAATATTTAAGCACAAATGTTGCTGGTTGTAGTGGAGCTTGTAAAACACTTGTTTTGCTGCTTTCAGCTCTTTTTTTTTTGCTAACTTCCCAAAGACTCAGTCAAGGGATATAAATGAGATGGCAAGAGACATCGTTGTAGCTTAAAGATAGAGTATTGTGTATTGGTATTTGTGTGTGTGTAAGTTACTTTTGGAAAAAGTGCTTCAGGTTCTTTTGTCAGCAGCTAGAAAATTTAATATTCAAAAAATAGACTCAGCTACTGAACTTGTATTTTGTGAATTTAGCCTTTTCACTTCACTTTTAATACATTAAGGTATGAGATTTTAAATGTTGATGTTGAACTGAAACAAAAAAGTGGAACATTTAAAAGCACTAGCAGTAGTAGGTTGGAATCCTGAGTGGCTGCTAACACCAGGGAGGGGAAAAAGTACTTGTTTCAGCAAAACTCTGCTTACTTAGGAAATAAATTATCTAGGCTTGTGTATCAGAGTAGATGTAATGATTTTTCTAAACTTGGGTCAAGGAAAATAATAGTGTTTGGGTTTTTTTTTGTTTGGTTTTGTTTTGTTTTATTTTTTTAAACACTGAACTGCACTATACCTTTGCCCAAGTCCTTTTTTTGCATGGAAAAGTACAACGTCACTAATTCTGAAGGTTTTGGTCTGTAGTTTATGCAATTTTAATTATTACTGCTGAAATATGTTAAGTATTGACTATGTTTTCTTCACTCTGGATAACATAGGATGGTTGGGTTCTTGGGAAGGGGCTGAGAAGTCATGATGGCACTTTGTTCCTCAGACACAGTGTGGGAGCGCTTATGCTGCGCACTGTGTGCATGTGGTAATTAGCAGTCTCTTACCACAGCTGGCCAAGAGAGGTGTGATTACCAGATTCTGAAATTTTTTTCATAAAATAAGTTGCTTTTATTCAAAGTGTTCGTAGATTTTCCTTTGAAACATGGAGTAGCTTTCTGTACTTCACTGTTTGAAAGCACCTCAGCCCAGTGGTAATTTGGGGGCCTGTGTTGTCCCATCCTGCTCTCCCTTCCTGCACTGGTGCAGCCGAGTTGAGAACCTGTGCAGGGCCATGGCCCAGCCAGCACTTTGGATACATTTTGATGGTTAGCTCTTCAACAGGGTTGGCTCACCCAAATGGCACTGCTGGTTGCAGAGCATGGTCTTGTTAGAAACTAGTTTTAAAACTAGTTTTAAAATATTAGTTCACTCCTTAGAAAAACAAAACACTCCAAGCTGTGTTTCCACCCCACCTTCCCAGTATTTTGAGGATATAAATAAAATGGTGATCCCAATCATGTGTCAATCATTCTGGTATATCAGGGATTATTTTTTAATGGTGTTCTTTGCCAATAAATGATGTTGTTATGATTATAATTGGTTATTAGTTATCATTATTTGTGAATACCAAGTCACCTCACCTCTATGTGCAGATACTAATGAAAGGCTTGCCTCGCTTGATAAAGCTTTAAGCATTCACTAGTTTGAATTAAATCAATACAACAAAGAAGTTTCAGTGTAGTGCTGTCTCCTCTGGTGTGCCTGTGCTTTTGTCTCACTAAATCCAGTTGCTGAACACACACAGGAACCAATTATGTGGAGATGTGGACACTTTTTAAATCTTTTCATCTGTAGTAGATGTAAAGTTCATTCATGTAAACCCTTCACGATCTTCTAGGGAAAAGAACATTGTGTGAATATCCACCTATTTGGTCTTTTTTGCAAATTAAGCTAAAAGGTCTGTTTCAGTGTAAAGGAACAATGGTAAGTGCTGGCAGATCCTCGACTGCAGTAAGCACTGCTAAGTACAAAACCAGACACCAGTGCTGTAGCTCATCTTGTTTTCAGAGGAAAAATCTAGTGAGAGGGAAAACTCTGTGTGTTTAAGGACCCACAGGATCCCTGACTGCATTCATGGCTGTAAATTAAGAATGTTTTCTGGAATGGCAATGGAACACCTCTCTGCTCTTCACTAACTCTTCAGCCTTGGTGTAGATGGCAAGCTGCCTCAGAAAGCCTGGAACAACTCCATGCTGCTTCTTTCCTACCCCTTTACCTGGGGTCTCCAGCAGGTGCCAGTGTGGTCTCTCTGTTACCCTGTAGATCATTATCCCCAGCCAGGCAGCCTCCTGGTTGTTCTCCCAAAACTTCCCTTTAACAACTGAGTTTAAGAAACAAAAAACATCCATTCTAATTTTTAATTATCAAGCTAACAGACTTAAATTCACTTCAAGCCTTGTGTGTAGCACTCGTTCCATCCCACAGTAATTGCCTACCAAATAAAATTTCGAAGGGAGTGTAGCAATATTAAACATTTTGAACCTCTTAGTGTGAATGTAAAATACTGTTGCTTTTGGCTGCAAGTACTGCAGAGAAAAGAAGAAATAAGGAGTTCTGTTAAAGCAGCTTGCACAGGGGCCTGGGAGGACTTGGAGCAGAGCTGAGTTGCTTTGGTCTTGTACAATTCAGAAGATAGAGCTTACAGTGTATTTAGACAGTCTGCTGATTTTTGCAGAATGACTAACAGTACAGTAACACTTTATAATAGTGAAGTTTGCGTGTCTGCTCCGGTTCAGCTAAGATTTAGTGTTGGCAGATAATTGTCTTGGTTCTTTGGCTGTGCCTGTTATTAAATTGAAAAATAGCAGAAGCATAAAGCCTAAACAGGGCCCATAGGTTAAGTCTAAACAAATATTCAGCCTCTTCATGCCAAGAAATTGGAAACAGTGAATTTAGGAAAAGTTAGCATTGAGTTGGAATGCTCATGCTTAAGGATGGTTTTATTTTTGCTTTAGGGTGTATACCCCTGAGTCATTTAAGAAAACTTGGCTTACAGCAAGTCAGATATTAAGAGATGGATGAGTTATCTGGAAAATGTGGTCAGAATAAATAATGTACAGCTCTGCTTACAGTACTTTGATGCAGAAATGGTCTTAAAAACTTAATATAAACAGACAATCTGAGGACCTGTTTAACTTCTGAAGTACTTTAATTTACAATGCAAGTTCTGGAGCAGTTATCAAGATGTTTAAAGATTCCTGCTCTGTTACCCACTAGAGTAGCACTAATTAAGGTGGCATGGCTTCTGGCATCCTCTGAAAATGTGACATAGTAAGCCTCAGGTACACAATTAAGCTCTTTGTTCTGTTGGAGATACATAAACAGCATTTAGTCTTCAGAATGGCATGGTTCAGAAACTAAAATCTGCAGATTGATTTCAGTTGGTAATTAGGTGGAACACAAACTTCTGTGTTCAGATTTTTTAAAAGCAAGTTTTTACATGTTGTGAGAGGGCTTGTTTCTGTCATTTTGAACTGCTGGGTTGTTGCTCATTGTGTGTTTATAACACAGCTAGGGTACTGGGCTTCAACTAAATATGTTTTTAACCCATAGGTCAGATGTATCAACAGTACCCACAGCCTGGTTACCCCGCGCAGCAGCCGCCGGCGCAGCCCCAGCAGCAGTACGGAATGCAGTACCCAGGTAAGCAGCTCCCGCAAACCGCGGTTCGGCTCTGGAGCCTCCTCCTCACTGCCCAGCCCTGTGAGCTTCGGTTCCTGGACCCAGGGTGCCGAGCAGCCCGAGTGCCTGTGGTTCTGGTGAGAACGGGCACGATTCAAAAATTGCCAGTAATTACCAGCTGTCTGTATTTTTTATGTGTAGTTGGAGCTTTGGCATCTCACAATCCTACTTGATTGTGACCAAAAGCAGACTTCATCATTAATCAGCAGAATGCCTTGTTAGAAAGGCAGGCAAAATGAATCACCTGAAGTACAAGCAGTCTTCAGGATTAACTTCTGCAGTCTTGGGATTCTAGCAAGTAAGTGACTAAAACATGCCCATTTATCCTCCTTAAATATTGGAGGTATATAAAGACAGCCCCTATTTTTTGCATCTGGAATGCTCTCCGTGTGCAAAATGTAGCGGTAGGAACACTGGTTATGGTTGTCATTTAGTAAATCATTAGCTATTGTAAATACTGTAATTTCAGAGAAACTTTCAACTGACAGGTTTTTTTAGTTGTTGATTTTGCTGATACCTCAAGGGAAGGTGCCAGTAGACTTTTAGCAGAACATTTTAGTGCACTAGTGGTTTATCTGCAGTCAAATATGAAAAGCTGGCTTTTGTGTATACCCAAAATAAACTCGACTTCATAACTTTCAGTTATTTATTTTAGAAGCAGCTGGCATCTAATAATGCAAATGCATAGTGTACGGAAGGAATCGTAATCCAGCTACAGTACAGGGATGAACCTGTAAGAGCAGATTCCATAACAGATGGCAAGTTGCTTAATACTTTTAGAAAATGATACACAACATTTATCATTCCTTGTTTTAAACAATCTTCTTCAAACTAAACAAAAGGCTCCCATACCAGTAAGCGAGTCAGAATAGGGCCTGTATGGCCTTTTTTTGCTGTACAATATATACAGTGGGAGCGCATCAATTTTGATGTAGATGAGAACACTTGCAGAGCTTATGAAGAAACTCCATGTTTATCTTGGGTAAGAACCCTAGAAGACTTGGAACGGAAGGTTTGTGCCTCAGCCCTTGTTCCTGTGCACTGTGAAAGTTGGTTGATTTGCGTCTCTAAATGGTATCTTGTTCTCTGCAGATGCCTCACCCCCACATTTCTAATTAGAAGACAGTGACAGACTTTCTGAAGTCTAATTTCAGAAGAAGTAACAAGCGTGTTGGAAGGAGAAGGGTCTATCTGACTTTCTTTAGGCTTTAAAGCTGAGTAGGGGAAAAAAAAAAAGAGGAGTTCCCATCTGCTTTCTAGTCATATCCTCCCACCATCTAATCCATTATTTTACTGGAGAAGTTTGTGTGAAAGCTGTAGTGCAATGCGAGTTCTGCATTCTAACCAACGTCATCTTCAAGAATGAAACACCACCAAAACTCATCTGGGGCTCCTCTGTTTCTCCCCTGTAACTTATTTCACAATTAACCTAATCTTTCAGAAAGAGGGCTTTTTTTGGGGGATACACCTAGTGACAGCAGCCTTTGAAGATCTTGACTCATAGGCTTTTTTTGTTTTGCTGTTGTTCCCATGAGTGTTGTCTCCTTTCAAACCCATGTCCCCCAAGAGCAGGATCCATGCCCCCTCTTGTAGATCTCCTAGGCAACAATGTGGCTATTTACTCATGGTAGTAAAAATGGACCGTTCAGAGGTTTGTCTCATGAGTAACTTTTGATCCCAGTTTCAAGGTGAGTTTACTCCAGTGCATTCTTCAACCCTTACTCTTTCTGTTTATTAGGGCTGTGCACTTTTAATAATTTGTGTGTCTGGTGTTTAATGCTGACAGGATTCCAGTCACTGGAGAGGTTTCATTGCAAGTAGCTGCAGGTGTGTTTCATGATGGATTAAAGTAGCTATTTCTTCATAAAAGGACTTTGTGTCATTTTAAAGTCTTCAATAAGAGTAATTCCTTTTGGAAGCTGGTTTCATATTGGAAATCAAGTTTGGGACATGTTTGAATGGAAGTTTTGTACTAAAGTATTGTGTTCTGCACAACTTTTTTGTATTTAACCCTAAAGAACTGAAAACACTTATGACTTAACCAAAGGTATGACTTAAATTAACCCTGACAATATATTTTCATGACAGTTTAGAGTTATTATTTGGGAAAAAGGTTGCATTTTGCCTCATTTACCAATGAAGACTTTCTATTTTTCATGTGACTCGAGGGTAAAATACTATTTGTCATTTTTTTGTTATTTCTTGTCAGTTGTGGGAAAACTGTTTTATACTGTTTTCAGTGTTGCTGTGCTGCTGTGGTTGTGCACCAAAAACCAGGCAGTGTGCTTATGTGAAGGGCAGGAAAACTTGCAGTTCATTCTTGGTTTGCCTTTTCTGTGCCCACCGCATTGTTTTGTGTTTGTCACTGTAAAAAGAAAGACTCAAAAAGGTCTCTCTGCAAGCGCCTGTGGTTATTTGTTCTCTCTCACCTCACCTTGCTCTTTTCCTTTCCAGCAGGCTACAGCCAGCAGCAAACCCCCTCGCAGCAAGCCCAGCAGTTCCCGGCCTACAGCCAGCCTGCAGCTCCAGCCCCGGCCGCCGCCGCCTTCCCAGGGCAGCCGCAGCAGCTGCCAGCACAGCAGCCCCCGCAGTACCCGGGGGGCAGTTACCCCCCGCAGCCCTACACCACCCAGGCCTCCCAGCCTGCTGCCTACAGCGGCCCCCCGGCCTCCCAGCCGGCCCCTGGCACCTACCAGCCCCGGCAGGGCTTCACCCCTCCACCCGGCAGCACCATGACCCCCCCACCCAGCGGGCCCAACCCCTACGCCCGCAACCGGCCGCCCTTCGGCACCCAGGGCTACACCCAGCCTGGACCTGGCTACCGGTAAGGAGGTGCCCCCAGACAGGGGCAACTGGCACGTGTGATTCCATCCCTACGGGCTCCAGGATTTGTCATTGAGATTCCCAAACTGTAATGAGGCAAAAGTATCGCTGTTAATTAAATTCTGCTGGGGGGAGGGGAAAGACCAAAAGAATCTTTCCTGCTTTAAACTGTATTTGCTTCCTAGTTTAATTTGGGGCTGGGTTGGTTTTGGGAAACACTACCTACACGTCTGTGCAGTGATTGACATGCCAGCTTGCCTTGTTTGAAGGATACGAAGATGGTAGTTGGAAGTTTAGCCCCCTTATCAGGCTTGTTTTTACTAATACCCTGATGTACTAAATTAGATTCATTCTGGAGGTAAAACTAGATATGATGTATTATAAATTGTAATGCTCACATGGAAAAACTAATAAAAACCCTGAATCTTACTATTTGCCTGATCTTTATTTTAGAATTTAAGTAATACTGAACAAGAGACCTGTGTGAAGACAAGCATGCGTGCTGGGTGTACGGCTACTGAGGTAAAGGTCAGCGGGGCTCAGGTTTGTCGGAGAAGAGACAGAGTTTTAGGTGTGTAAATGGAGAAGCGTTGGGAATGCAGATGGCTTTTGCAGAGGTTATGCAGCAGTATTTGCACTGTCTGCTGTTATTAATTGCCAAGTAACCCTTTTACCAAATGAGTAAGGGCCAATACATAAAATCTTAGAGCCCCTTACCAATTTCACTTTAATAAGGACAGGGGGAGAACTGGTTTATTACTCAAAAATTTAAGCCAAATACCTATTTTTTAAAAAAAGAACTCTTAAAAAGGAACAGCTTTCCACAAGTTCTTTGCCACCCAGCAAAACTTGGGAGTGTGAGCCGAGAAAAAAGCAGATCAAGACCTGTAACAAATTCAATAGCCCATATAACAGGAGAGGGCAAAACATTCCCCCAGTTAATATTTTCCATCTTACGGATTCTAGAAATAGATAAAACTAAGTAGGGAATAAAAAAAGTGAACTGGACAAATTAGAAAATAAAATGAGTGAAAATATTCCTGCCTTCAGCATCTGTGAATATCGGTGCTGTCCCACCAGCTGCACTGTCCAGTGAGGCACAGCTGTAACTCCTGCTCTCTGTGCTCAGGTGTTCCTCACACCATTCCCCTTGTGCCTGTTTCAGAACAACCTGCTTCCTGAAACAACAGCATTTGCCACAGAGACTAATACTTCTTTTCAGGTAAAACACCAAGGAAAAACACTTGATTAAAAAATATTTTATTAGGAGTACAGTGTACCTGCAATGTACTTTATAAGGCATTTTCTATAAATGACTATTTCTACTATATATATATATCTGGGTGTTCCTGTTCATATTTTTTCAATACATTAGTAATGTAATGAATAACACCTTTTAAAAAAAACTACATCTCTTTATTTAGTTCATAACTGTTCAAGCAGTACAACAAGTAGCTTTGGGAGAGGTTAAATCAAAATGACTGTAAAGCAGTTGTAAAGTTCTGTTGTCACTATTTCCCCTTTGTCCCCAATGAACAATGTTTTAAACAACTTTTTTTCTTTTTTAAAAAATAAAATAGACCTGATGGTGCTGGTAGAAGTAGCTTATTTATTTATTTCCTGTTTCATTTACCTTTCCAAGTGCCTCTGCACTGTGCATACATTCACCTGTTGAACCAGTAAGTCTCAGTCTCTGAGAACTACATTTTGATGAAAAGCCAGAGCTGGGGAGGCCAGTTTCAGTTTTTATTCCACGTAGATATGGACCTGTCTGTGTTCACTGGAGGAAACCAAACCCACCCCCCCGCCGCTGCCAAGCACAGGGGCAGTGGCTCTGCCTCCGCAGCAACAGGCTGAGCGTGCCCCTTTGCTGGAGCTGAAGCATTTGAAAACAAACATGGAAAAAAACCCACTAACTTGGTTGTTTAAAGCTGCACGTACAGCAGCCTACCTCAGCGTTTCAGCACGAGTATAAACTGGAGACGTAAGGAGAGAGCGCTTCAAGTTGACTGGTTACAGGGTGATAAAAACTGTGGGGTCTTTTCTATAATTTATGACTGGGGAGACGTTGCAGATCTATCTGGACAGGTAGCTTATGGCACTTAGGTTACACGAAGACCAGTGAATATTTAAAAACTAACACACTTTGCATTCCATGACCAACTCTGCCATAACTGTGCCTTAAACATTTATTACAACATTGTGATAAATAATATACACACCGTATCTTTTAAAATACCATATAAACCATACCTCAAGAACAGGGAGCCAGCTTCCCTATACATTATCCTACACAATGTCCCTAGCCTGTTTGGGATTTTCTTTTTTTTTTTTTTTTTTTTAAATCTAAAAACAAATTTGTAAAAGTGGATAACTACAGTAAGCAGCCTACGCTATTACACAATTAATGCAGTATTGGCATTAGGCTTTTTTTTTTTGCAAATCAGCAAACCTTTGCACATCAGCAAACTGCCTGAGGTGCCAGGCATCCCATAAACGCTTCCATCTTGGAGCCTGCTTTGGGCAGCCGGGCACAGTGCGGGGTAAGGGCTGGGCCTTTCCACGGAGTTCGTGTCGCATCTACCATTTCCCAGGTATCGATGTTCCGCACTCGTACCAGCGAACATAGTTAATGTGAGTCTCCCCTCCTATTTTTCCAAATTTGACAGGTTCCTGACGAACTGCCCTAAAAAATCCTGGAACAGAGAAGAGAGTTGTGTTTGCACAAAGCCCTCAGACAGTGCCTCCTTTGAGTTCCCTGTGGAGGCTGCGTACCGTTAATTGCTGAGCTAGTCACTCAGCTGCTAACCCACCTGCCACAAACAGGTTTGCTGCCCCTCCATCCATTAGCAAGCGGAAACAGTTGGCATTTGTCCAGCCACCCACCTCAAACTAAAGCAGAAGCGCTTGGGCTTGCTGCAGCCCAGCACAGGAGAGGTGAAGCCTGTCACCCCTGAGACTTACCCGTGGCTGCAGGGAAGCTAAATAACCCTCGGCTCAGCTGCTAACCCACCTGCCACAAACAGGTTTGCTGCCCCTCCATCCATTAGCAAGCGGAAACAGTTGGCATTTGTCCAGCCATCCACCTCAAACTAAAGCAGAAGCGCTTGGGCTTGCTGCAGCCCAGCACAGGAGAGGTGAAGCCTGTCACCCCTGAGACTTACCCGTGGCTGCAGGGAAGCTAAATAACCCTCGATGGCTGGGGATGTTTCACACTATCTTCCTGGCCCTGAGCAAAAGATTGTACCTCCTGCTTTAAATCTGTTCTGTATGACCATACACATACTTCCCCTTCAAACAATTCATGTTAAGTTAAAAACTAAAGGGAGCAATTAGCGCTGAATTCAACCCCCAGCATCAGAAATTGTCCATGTGGCTGAAGTGTGCAGGTGTGACCAACACACAACAGCGGTGGTGACGCCCTCCCTGCACTGCAGGCCAAACACAAGTGGTTAGTTCTGGTTTGAACAGAACTCAGCTTGCTGCAGCTGGGGAGGAATGGAGCAGCCATGGACAACCCCTCTCTTCTTTCCTCTGTTAGTTCAGTTACTAGAAATACAAGCTATAGAAAAGGTGGGGGCTTTTTTGGTTTGATTGATTGTTTTGTTGGGTGTTTGGTTTTTTCCAAAAACAAATGTAGCTCATGAATCCACTCCATTAAATCCGGTTGCTGAAAACTAATTGGTTTTAAAAAAAAAAAAAAAAAAAAAAATCTCTTTTAAGCTGGAGTAGCAAGCCTTTAATGGAGGAGGGTTTGGGTTGTTTGTTGGTTTTTTTTTTAATAAAATCTTTTTTTTAAAAAAAAGTGAATCTGATACAACCGAGAGGTCTGCTGTCCTGGCAACGCCAAACTGAATTCAGATAATCCCTTATATAAACAAAATACCTTTACAAATGGGCAACACTCCCTGGTAAAGGAAAAGCAAAGCCCTCAAAAAAACCCCACACCACATAAGCAAACAGCTTTCAGATTGTTCACTTACTTTGTTTTTTGGAAAAACTTGTGAAAGATTTACGCACGTTAATCTCCCACCCCTACCTCAGTGCATTTCTGTACTTCCGTAAGGTGTTTTATAAGTGAAGCACTACATGCAGGAAGGTTTGGTCAAAGCACTGGTATTGTACAGAAAACCATTTTGATATTTTTCTCAGTAAAATATTCCATGACACACTCGGCCTGCACGTGTGTATCAGTGCAGCCTGCGTTCTTACCCCACAAGGGAATGGAACAGCTCACACTGGCACCGCTGCAAACACGCAAGGCAGGAGTTCAGCTGACAGAGATACAATTTTCTTATGCTTGAGCCTCAGCAACGTGTGAAAAAATAGCCAGGCAGGTCACAGTTGCGTTTGGGACATCCAGTCCCATGGCCACTCAGACCAGACTGGAATTCTAGGCACCCGGTTCAAATCAGTGCACACAGAATTACTGCAGCATGAATTATATTTTCCAGTAATAACTTTTTAGTTTCTTATTAGCACTAAACAAAGCTGTTTAATGCCCAACTTATGATTTACTGCGCTTTAAATCAACCTTGCTGGTTTGAACATAACACTTCATGCCTCTCCGCAAACTCAAAGTTGTGGTTGGGTTTAAATATGTAATACCAACTGTGAATAATCTGTTGGAATGTTTTAAACAGGAGAGAGGCTGTTTACTACCTCACAGGACCCAAGTCATAACCTTCTTTTTTAATAAGCCATTGCTCATTTTCAAAAACTTCTCGACTCACTTCTGCCTGGGAAGCCGGTAGTCCCTTTCCATCGCCCACGACAGCAGTGGGCCCTGAATCCACTGGCAGGAAAAAGAAACACACAAACAAAGGAATTGCCAGGGTTTGCTACAGAGACAAGCGTAAGGAATTACCATCTTTGACTGGTAGATCTTCTTGCTGTCCTGTCCTTCCATCTAAGAATGAGTCTACAAATTGGCAGTGATCTTCTCCATGGCCCCTCTGGTCTCCTATGTTATAAAATTTTCCTGAAACAAAGAAGCAGCAGAGTTGAAAATCCATATCCAGTTTAGGAAGGGCCATTTCCAAAACCACCAGAAGCAATGGGCTGTGCTCTTTGCCCTGGGGCAGCCAAGGTGAATGCTGCCATTCTTCTCCTCTCAGGATCTGTAGCTGCAATTTGAACATTATATGCATAATTCCAAATTAATTCATGGCTGCAGACAGAAGTGCCCCATTCCTGGCCAAAATCTGTGCCTGAATGTATTTTTTCTCCTCCCTACATTTCATACAGTAAGTGATATTCTGTTATTACCTAGAAACTCATCCTGATTGTATTAAAAATGAGGTAAGTTTTGCTGTGATGTGAATGGAAGGCAGGTTTGGTTCCCTGTCAGGAAGCCCCCCAGTATCTTCAAAGTTGTTTTCACTGATCACCTTGTAACACAGTCAAGGCCTGTTTTATAAATCATATTTTTACAACTTGTTATGTGCAAGTGATATCCTGTAACAAATAGATGACCTCTCTATAGTAACTGTTTATCCAGAGTGTGAAGTGTGCCCGTATATTTATTTCCTGGATTGCTTAACAGGACACTCAACTGCAACTGAGCGGAAAACAAGGTCTCCAGTGCCCCGTGCAGCGTGAGCTGACGTTACAGGCTGCACTTATCCTGGTAGCACGAGGACTCACAGTGAAGGAGCTTTGAGAGAGAGATGTTTTTACTTACTGGTTTGAGTTTGCAAGACATGAGTAAAATTCAGCTCAGGAGGTGGAGGAAAGCACGCTACTTCTTCCCAAGCCTTGGCAGGAAACATTGTCAGATAAACCTACTGTTTTTTCTAAACTCCTTTCACAGCACTTGTTCTTCATCAGTTCAACCTTTGGTTGTGAGGTTGAAAGGAAACGTGAGAGCATTTAGAAACAGGCTCAGTACTCGGGTATAAGCTAAGCAGAAAGTCCAGTTACTCCTTAGATGTTGTGTGTCCTGTAGCCTTGAATCTGCCAGTCTGGCCATTTGAGAGATGGTGAGATGGTTTATAATACTGCTCCCTAAAGTGCCATTCATAAAAGAGCAGCCTACCAATAAACACACTCTCATATTTTTGTGATCAATACTTTGCCAAAAATTCTCACCTCCATTTGACAGCCTCTGTGCATGTAGTTCTTCTCTAGCTTTAGAAAATTATTTATTACTATCTAGTTTTGGCTGCAGGCATGTTTTTCCCATAAGAGAACTGGTCAGAGGGAGTTTCTCTCAGCAATTTTTTGGTCTGAAATTAAGAACATTCAGGCTGCCCAAAACGGCATTTTTTTTTTTTCCATGGCTGTTGAATTTTTTTTTTTCTCCCCCAAAAAATTCTTTTTTTTTTTTTTTTTTTTTTTTTTTTTTTTTTTTTTTAGGTGGTTGCTTTTCTGGAATGCCTACAGTCACTGCTCTGGAGGACTGTTAAATGAGGACAGCAGTAGATGCTGGTTTATAGAACGGTCCTGGCATGTGTAACGTAGATCAGTTTTTCTTCAAGAGAGACAGAATAAACCAGATATTTTTATGGTTAACACAAGAACAGTAACTTTCAGATACACACACGCTCTTCTGGCCCACAGTGTAACCTATGCAGAATTCAAACATAAATTAGCAGCATTCTTAGTGACTACTGAATTCTTACTGCCCAATTCTTTCCATAATAAAGGAACACACTTAAGAATACTTAGCTAACAAATTGCTAGATTCATTTTTCTCTTTTGGGGACGGCAATTCTAGCATAAAGTAAATTTTTTTTTTGCCTTATTCCTGTAAGTGTTGCCTTATGGGTGGTCTTAAAAAAATCAGATACCATCTTTGTTTTATACATTGTGAATTCTGCAACACCAGCAGTATAAATTCATGCTAAAAACCGGAACTCAAAGATGTGGTTGTTGGCTGCCCTATACAACAGCATTTGTACAGTGCTCCCACATTGCAAGACATCATGTTGTGTTTAAGCAAAGGTTTGGAAGGTATTTTCAGCGTACGGTGGAACTCGGACCTCAGCACAGCCCGTCACTGCCAGCACAGGTTGCCCAGCTGGCTAGTGCTGGCAGATACACTGCCACTGGACTCAGGGGCACCATGGGACGAGGTGTGACAGTGAAACATCAGAACAGAGTCTGGCTTCACATTGGAAACTGTCTCACTAGTGTATAGAGGCCCATGCCATGACAGTTGCACTTAAGAAATGGGGGAAAAGCAGCTTTCCAGCTTTCCTTCTACATAAATATTTCAATTCTTTCAAATATTGCGACAACTGGTCAGCACTGGTTGTAACAATTGAAGTGCAAGAACCAGGCTTAGCAAGTATAATGAATACATGTGGCTACCCTCGTCTTTCTCCAGCCAAGTTAAATCACCACCCTTCCAGCAAGAATAAAAACAATCTAATGCAAATAGGAAAATGGGCTCCCGGTATATTAAACTTTTCTTCTGAGTTTGAAGTAGCTTTCAGTGCAGTGCTAATTCACTTGATTTAGGGCTGTAGTCTGGTCCTGCTAGATTAGCACTGCTATTTCCTCTGCTGGCTGGTCCTGTGATTGATACACGATGCCTCATTGCCAGGGTTTGTCATTTGATCACAGCTGGTTAGTACAGCAACAGCTGAATGAATGATACCTCTGTTCAAAACAGTCTCTTTTATTCACATAATTGCCAAGATATTACTTCTGTATGAAGTATTGTACTTACTATTAATGACAGGGCTTTCCTTCCTTGTCTGCTCATGAGAGAATGGTGCCACGTGCAAAGCTGGGCAGCTTAAAATTATAGATACATGGGCTTCCCTACGCTCCCCTGCTCTCTTCTCTCCATGTACCTGCATACAGAGACCAGAGCCCTGATCCTGTGAGGTGCTGACCTCTGAGATGGGGCCACTTTGGGTTAGGAAAGTGGATTCTTTCAGCTACAGTTACTCCTAGTTGCTGGAACCCAATGTGATGAACATGCTGCCTAATTTGCCCTCAAAAGACATTTCCCGTACCTGGCTGTATTATACTCTTTGTGCTCTGGATGCCATGCTGATGCCACTGTGATAGAGTAGCCCAGGCAGCTCTGATAAAAGACCTCATAGAGAAGAAAGCCAGGAGCTTGGGACAGACTATAAGAAGTTAATGTATTTCTAAATATAGCTTGTACAATCTACATGAGACACAAAGTTCTGCTTAACTATCAACTAACTGAAAACCACTTTTTACAGGCTGCTTTTCCATGGCTTATACAGCATGTGTCACTTCATTTAGGTCTTAAATGTATCACCCACTAGTGACCTTAAGACGCTGAATAAAACTCAAGAAGATAAGGCCAGGAGGCTGCTGTTAGCAATAAAACATAATATGTATTTAAAAAAAAAGAGGCAAAAAGAGATTATAGGCAAACATGGGGAATGTGAAAACAAAACAAAAATGTTAAAGCAGGTGAGTAAAACCTGTTGACTAGAGTTGTAGTCATGTATTTCTAAGGCTCACAGTAATGACATAACCAGATGTTTAACAAATGGGATAGGAATGACTGAGTCTAATCCTGGTCTAAAATTAGGTCCTAATCTTCCAATTAAGAACTATTCCAGGCTACCCTTTAAATCTGACATCTCTACAATATATATGCTATTCATTGGCAGAGATCTGATCTTTATCAGTTTTCTTTATGACCCCCAGGATACTAACAGGTACCTAAATTCATACCATCACCATAGAGAAGCGACTCTTGAGTCCGGAAATTCAGTATCAAACACATCAATGATACTGAGCATAAGCAGATTACTGTTTATAATTAATCTGTCTATGGACTAGATTAAACATTTCTGATCACACTTCAGCAGAGCTCAACCTTTTAAACCTCTTAGTTCTGGAACCATGATATCTTTAAGGAGTGTATAATGTGGACAACATTGATTTGAATGTCTCTTACCTGTGAGTGAATCACTGAGGTATATCTTGTATCTCAAAGAATTACACAGCTGCACACCGACAAACTTCTTGTACCAAGTCCTCTTTACGTATTGTTTCCCTTTGCATTCTGAATAGGTGTCTGAATTGAATGGGATTTCAGTCCAGATAGCATCCTTTCCCACTGCAGGAGAGGAAGAAAGAAGCTGGTATGATGCTGCATAGAAAATTATGTACAACAAACATATTCTAATAAATAGAACTAGAAACCTTGATGTAGCAGAATGCACCATGGCACCAGATTCACCTCCATTTTGAACATGAAAGATATGTCAGGGAATCACCAAAGGGTGCAGATATGATTGATGCAGTGAACTGCTTCTGCTCTTTGTGTGTCCTGCCAGTTTGGAATAAGATCATTCTAGGAGCTTGTTAGGGGGACAACATCTGTGTGTTGGCAAAACTCTCATTTACAAAGTGTGTGATACAGTCACTGTTTTTCAGTGGGTTCAAGCCAGGACAGTCAACTTGCAGCAAACTGTACGTGATTTAACACAAATACACATAAAAATGAAATGTCATGAATTATGTGGAAAGAAGTGGTGTCTCAGTGTTTGTCAAAGGGAATATCCATTAGAAATGCAAAAAGCAGCCCAATTTGCTTGAGTGATCTCAGCTGTTCTTTAAAAGCTCAGTCCACCTCCCACCAAAGACAGCAAGAGCCTTGTAAGTGGTCTAAAGCAGAGCTGGATCCAGCCTTCAGAAGCATAAAATTTCTCTGAAACACAATGGCAGAAAGCAGTATCCTCTTAACTCACTGAGTAAGTGTGGAGTAGCTGATTCATTTTACAGAGCTTTCTTGTGCTTTAATGACAAGGCTGAGAGAATACAAGGCTGTCCTTGGCTCATTTGTGTTTGGTTTGAAGCCATCCCAGCTGCCATGGGAGCACCACATCACCTTGATTGTGTTCTGCTCAGGTAAACAAGCAGCCTGGCTAGAATTCCTGACCAGGGATATGGGTGGAAGGAGTGAAATCATGTGCGAATGCTGTTTGATTCCATAACTCATTTGATGGGTGCAGTACAGCCACCCCCCTTGTAAAAAGTATGCTATCTTATTTCTGAAAAAAATCCTGATCAGAAGAACACTATAGTGTGTATAAAATGCTTACTTGAAATTGGCTCACTCACTCTTGGGTCCGCTGGGGGAAGAAAACAAACATTCAGTCAGGGTACAATGAACTTTCCCAATATTTCAATGGAAAAGCATTGGTAAGTGATTTTCTACAGTTGACTTAAGCTGTAATTTGTGAAATAGAAAGAGTTTTGGAAGCAAAGTTCACTTTTGTATTAAAAGTTAATTAAATTAAATTAATTGAAATAAAAATTAAAGTAAATATATTAATAAAATTAATTACAATTAAAGTAAAACAATTAAATGTATTTCTTATGTCAAACTATAATATTAATGAGCTTTTAAAAATTTTACTTATAGGACAATACCAGTCAAACACAGTTCTAGTAAAAACAAGAGTTTAAACCTGTAATCAGCAAAAATCAGTTCTACTGCATCTTTTTTAAAATTTCAATTTCAAAACTTAAATAATAAAAAGGAGCCCTCTGTAATACTTGCCACACAAAACTTGGCTAGGAAAGCCAAAAAGTGAGAAATGGATGTGTGCAATTAAGAAAAAATAAAACTGACTGCTTAATTTGTCCAAGCTAAATAGGAGACAGAACATAAGCCTTGTCATTCATGAAAACTGCACTTGGCATAAACATTTTTGCAGTTTTAACAATCTAGGATTACAAAGAGTGTATTCACAGCTTTTAAGTACGTGTGGCGTAGTCTGAACTCCTCCCTGACTAATCCCTTGCTCAGCCAAAACTCTTATCCATCAGGGACAGCATTAGATGGGGACTATGACATTATTACACCTGGCTCAAAGCGCAGATTGAGAAAGTCCTTTTAAAAAGGATAAATCCATTTTGTGTTTTATATGGTCCTGAAGTACTATCAAGCAATAAACACTTCTACACAAAAGATGGTATCTTGCTTGCATAAAGTCAACAAGTCAGCTGTAGTTAACCCCATGGGGAACTGGAACAGGGAAAGCAAAGGTACTCTCCGATTCTCACCTCTGAGTCAGATAGGGCTTAATTTGGGAACCAACCCATGGTCAAAACAGGCTTGTATACACCTCTAACAGTTTCACAGGAGAGTAAACAGGATGGAAGAGGACACACTGTGACATCAACTCTTCCCAACTGCTATTTCTCAATCCTTATTTCAGCCAAAAGACATTACTATTATACAGCAGCATTATTGAACAGGTAGCAAAAGTGCCTATAAACACACTAGTCCAAAGAAAAACCTTATGGTCTCCACCCAGAAGTCATTAATGAGTTTGATAAACACAAAAAGGTCAGGAAAATTAATCTTAAATGACTGAGCCTTCTCTAAGAATAACATTAGTTTCTTCACAACAAACACCACACAAACTCTCTGTGCTCCTGTTTTTTTCTCCCACAGTCTGGCCATCTTAAAATCCTCACACAACGCAGCCCTGATCTCAGGCTGACCTTCCAGGCAGTACCGTAACATGCTCAGTAGTAAAAAGCCAAACTGGAGACAGTAAAGAGCAAGACCAAATGTGCAAAATGAAGCAAGAGAGCCTTTCATATATCCCACAAACATGGATACTAGAGCTGCTGTAAATGATGATCAGACCTTTGGAAGTTCTTACCTGATTCAGTATTGAATGCCACGGTGTTGCTACTTGGACCTTCACCAAGAGGGTTTCTAGGTTTCACGTGGAATTCATAACTGGGGAATAAAATAGAGATTAAAATTTTGCAAACCAAGCATTCTTTCAGAGTCTGGAGCATGCAAACTGCCATCACACACCTTGGTGCTACTCGCCTCCTGGAGAAGAATAAAAAGGCCTCATTTCTTGCTCTGAAAATGCTGAGTTGTTCTTTGTCCTAACTGTATAAGGCCTCTCTGAACACATAATTTACCAGTCCTTTTGATAATCCTTTGCATACATACTATTAAAGTTTGATTGACTCCACCACTGCTTTAAGTCTGTCTCCTCTCACACATGTGGTTTCAGTTCTGGCAAAGGGAGTAGTTCTGGTGAGGTCAGAAGCAAACTGATCAGCAGAGACTGAGTGAAGCCCATTGCTATTTATTTGCATACTTTTTAATCAATAAGAACTCAAACCTCCAGTTCAATGCCTTTTAGGGCCATTAACAGTGACAGACAGGGCCAGTGGTGAAACACAGGGCAAGTCTTCCCAAGGCAAAGATCCAATTGCTTGAATATATGTTAATAGTAAATATAAGAAGTAATGAAAAGATATTGTGCAGTCTCTCTTTTGTATCTTTTCACAGTAATATCGCACAACCCCAGTCTGTACTGCAGTTATCTCATGATCTCTTTTCATCACAGCTGTGCTGGGAACCAAACACAGTACTATGAAAATGGAACAAGACTGAAGAAAAAAAATCCAAGCCAGACTCCTCTACGTAAGCCTCTCCCACCCCTCCATACTGAACCAACAGTGATGGACAGGCAAGACAAAGTGGTTTCTAACTCTGAAGCTCAGCTGAAACTTACACTTTCAATTAGAATTTCCAGGTAAACAGCTACTGAAAGACAGTTGCAAACCTAAGGGTGTTACACAGAAGACACCACACAGATGAGGCTGGAAAGCGAGTTACACACCGGACACAGCTACGATCTCACATCAAGGGCAGAGGACCAGACTCTGTATCTCCTTCCTACACACTCTGTATCTCCCTACCTCAGCTCTCCTGGCTCCAGGCTAGCAGCACCTAGGAATTCCTCACTGCTCAGCAATGGCCCAGTGCCTCTCTAGGACCTGTGTGCCCACCCTGCCAAAGCACCCTGATGTGCAGGATGTACACACCCCATCAACAGCACCCTCTTCACGCCTTCCCCATGAGCTATGAGCAATAACCTGTCCCATGCGTCACACCTACAGAGAGACTTTTCATACACTTTGAGCGCATATATCTCTTAACACAGTGTTTCTTCATCAGTGAGAAAGATCCATAGGACACGAGTCAAAAGGAGTGTAGGCCTGGAAAATGGGCCTAATTTAGAGAACAAATACGGAGCAAAAGGAGAATCTCAGAAGTGAGCAAATAAACGTGCAGCTTTTGACTCATGAAGGATCACTCACCCATGATAACTTGTTAGCTCATGACTATAACATAGCATTGTAATGTATTGCTGAAATTGTTTCCAAACAGCAATTTTCTAAAGAAAAAGAATCCATACCACTCTCCATATGGTTGGAAATTTGTAAACTCCATTTACAAGCCCCTACAAGAGACAGAATAATTCAATCCAAACTTTGGATTACCTCTCATTGCTTCTTGGATTCTGCAAAACCTGAACAGCTTGCTAATTAACCTCAGTGGACTAATCATGCAGTACCATGCAACTTTTTTCCATCCACAGTCTTTCTAAGACAATATTTAACTTTGAAATTGCTTACATAAGCAATTACCTTTATTTCTAGGGTTTTCTTTTCTTTTTTTTAAGGGAAATACTTACAAAGATTGGTATGCTGAACTGATGCATTGTGGATAATTTGTAGACATTTTAAATTGAAACATGGGCTTGTTTTGAGCTTTAAAATGTCTGTTTGTGGTAATCTTTACATTTATTCAAACATGCTGCAAGACCATTTTGAGCAACTCATATTACCCTACTGTAGAAGGGAGACATCAAATAAATAATAAATTAAATAATAAGATATAGACACAAAGTCTTCTTCATTATCAACTTCAAATTATTTAAACAAACACATGCTTTTAAATATTGGATCTGACCAGTTCATATTCACATTGGGCATGTGGTAGTGTAACTTTTTTGGCCAAGAGTATTCTCATCTAGTAGGAAAGGTCGTTATCCAGACAACTTCAGCAGAACAGTTGGAATTTCCTTCTGAAGAATCATTGAAGTATAAATGAAGATTTGCTAGTAAATTGAGTGTTTTAAAGTAATAGCTGAAAGATACATTTTTTGACAATGTACAAATTAACGCGCACCTACAGATAAAAGACTACAAAGAAGTTCTGCTTCGCTCACAGCAGGAACACCTTATCTAGAACTATTATTGTAATTTTGACTTTTTACAAGGGCAGGTAGTGATAGAACAAGGGATAATGGCTTCAAACTGGGAGAGGGTAGGGTTAGATTAGATAATAGGACGAAATCCTTCACTGTGAGGGTGGTCAGACACTGGCACAAGTTGCCCAGAGAAGCTGTGGATGCTCCTCCCTGGAAGTGTTCAAGGCCAGGCTGGATGAGGCTTTGAGCAACCTGGTCTAGGGGAGTGTCCCTGCTGATGGCAGGGGGGTTGGAACTAGATGATCTTTAAGGTCCCTTCCAACCCAAACCATTCTACGATTCTATGATTGATAGCTCAACATGGCATATTCTATGGCTTTACTGGGAATTTTTGGTTTGACCTTATGGATGATAATAATCTGTTTATGTGCCTTTGTATGAAATCAAAAGGGAAATATGAAGAGTACTGCCTAGGATTCCTGTCCTAGAGTTTTTTGATTCCATAGGATTGGCTATAAAGAAAGGACAAAAACGGAGCAGGTGAAATCCTCTTATGGAACTGGACTGGGCAGCCGCAGGGACTCAGAAAGTAATGGCACAGGCAACTAAAGATAAACTAAAGGTAAACAGGTAAACTAAAGATAAAGACCTACAATCAGCATATCTGGATCTCACCTTGATATATAAGGGTTTCACTAATTTTGCAAGCTGGATTTACATGCCTCTGTCAGGTAAAAAGTCACAAGCTGGACAAGATGTTGGAGGATTTTGAAGCAAATTTAAGTATTTTGCTGATTTTTGTATAAATATATTGTCCTCCAGAGCTGAACTGCCCTACTTTGGGTTGCATCAGGCAATATTCTTCATATGAAACAGTTCTGTTCCCACAAAACTTAAAGTCGATGAACTTGGACCCATCAATTCTCTAACTCCATAAAAAGACCAAAACAGGAACTAAAGACTAAATATTTTCCAAGCAGTTTTTCAAATTGTGGTTTAGGGATCACTAGGATCTCTGCAAAAGATCAAACCACAGTTGGGAAAATTACAGCAAGACTGAAATAAAGAACTGAAATCTACACAGAGATTTCAGCTCGTGTAAATATATAAACAAAATTGGAGAAAAGGAAAGTAATAAAGAAATGTCCAAAGTTTAGCTTGTCAGTTAGGGGACCTTCTTATTGATAATGTTAGAGAGTAAATTTTTTGAACTGTAATATATACAATTCTACAGTTTTGTGGTAGGTGTTTCCACAGCTGCCCAAGCATCACAGACTCCTCTCTGCCAAGTTCAGTTCTGAAACAATAGCAGTGGCTGCAACAGTGCAAGAACCAGAAACAACCACTTTTGGAGTTGAAGAGAAGTAAGTAGTTGACTGAAAACTGAAAGGGAGAGAAAGGAGAAGTTAGACTGAGCTCATGATTTGAAAGAGTTTACAGATCTAACTGTACTTTTAAAGTCATGCTGTGGCTTTCTTCGTATAAAACCATTTAATGTCTCTCTTTCGTGTGTCAGGTGAAAGATTTGAAAAACAGAAGTAAATAGTGAAAAAGGGTACCTGCTGCAATGTTATGCATTTCTATACAAACCACAAGGGAGGGGAAAAACCTGCTTAGAGATTCAGGAAAGTATGTAGGGCAAAGTAAATAAAGGAAAATAGGAAAGCATATTATCTTATGTCTACTTCTTAGCTAGACTTACTAATGAGAAACCGGAGTCTATATTGCATCTTTATATCTGTGTGCCTACGATGCCAAAAACTCTGCTACTCAATATATGCAGCAATCTAACGTGTCACACCTCTAACATCTCTAAGATTGCTATCCTACAAACTTCAGAGACTAGGCCTCCCAAATCTTCCCAAACTGCCTACGACAATAAAAGTCCTTGTGCAGATTAAATGGACTTGACTTACAGTAATTACTGTGCAGAGCATATTTTTCCAGCATAGGAAATTGCTATCCCACATGGAACTTTGGCAGATGCAGACACTCCTGCATTTTTCAAATCATGCAGGAAGAGCAGATTGAAGATTGCAGAACTGAAAATAAGTGAAGAGAGATTTTCACCGTAATAGGAGGACTGGAGCAGCTGAGTACAGTCCTGGGATTTCAGGTCAATTGCTGGGGAGATGCTGGTGGTTAGATGACAATCGTGCAGGACCATCTCACTGTATAGAGCTTCTCTGTCTCAGAAGAGGCGCTTGGATAGCAGTATGATCAGATATAGCAAATAAAACTAGGTTTAAGAGAATGGAATGAAAAAGAGAAAGAAAAAAAAGTACTGGGTTTGTCTGAGGAGTCTTTCTCCTAATCAAGCTGGAAGAAAGGCAGATAGAAATGGGAAATGCTCACCCATGAACCTTGACATCAACAGCAATTTAATATAAAAATCTGTTACTTTTGTAATAAAGAGTAGAAAAAACTCCAGCATTTTTCTGCCACTTTCTGATTTTTTTTGCCTTGCAGTTTTCACTGTATTTCTCATTTCTTGACCCTTGTTATTAACAAAAGCTAAGCTCTCTGTGTTGGTAGATTTTTTTCTCTTATGTGAATAGCACATTTTGGGTGCTAACTGCAATACAAAATGATAGATAATGGTAATAACAGCATGAGCAGGTAGATATTAATTATTGTGTATGAGTGCACAAAAAGCTTATTCATAAAGGATTGAGGACTTACTTGGTATGGCCTTTGAGTAAATTATACTATCATTCTC